CCACTACTGCTACTACTGCTACTGCCACTGCTACCACTGCTGCTACAGCTGCGGCTACTGCTGCTGCTGCTGCTCTGTTTTTTTGGCAGAGTTTTGGCGACGCGACCCGAAGAGGTGCACAACAAGATCTTCGTGTGCCGATGCGGCAGTGCTGCTGATACGCAGGTGCTGAGTTTTTGCACATGCGAGCGAAAAAGAAGAAGTGGTCTAGCATATTGCAGCCCCAATGTCACAGGCGCTGACAGGCTTCGTTGTCAACTATTTGGGGCAGCACGCAGTGGAGCTGGGGCCACTCGACAGCTCCATATTGTACCTCTGATTGTCTTGCAGCTTCTAGAGACTGTGACCAACCTGTCCAGGAAGGATCCCACAGTGAACACGGCAGCAAATCTGTTCAAAATGATCGCCTACAACAACAAGGACTCCAAGATAAGCGCAAGTTTGTGAAAGGTGGTTGCCAGCCTTGTAGAGAACACAGGGGTGCTGCCACTGCAATCGCCACCAGGACAACCTGCTCGCAGGCCTTATAGTGGCAGGCTACGATGAGAAGCGGGGTGGCCAGGCAGGGGCAGGAACCACGTGGTCATCAAGAGGCTTCACTTGCGCTCCAAGACGGTCCATGTATGCGCATGACAGGTCTATAGCATCCCTCTGGGTGGCTCCCGTATCCGAGTGCCATGGGCCTGCGACGGATCCGGCTCTGGCTACATCAAGGGGTTCATCGATTCGCACTACCGACCAGGCACTCTGTACCTGGCTGAGAGAGACAGCAGAGACCAGCGGCTAGCGACATTTTTCAGTTCTGACAGGCATGTCCAAGGCGGAGTGCTTAGAGCCACCACCTTAAACAGCAGAGCATTGGCTGTCCCTCGCGCGCTGATCTGCTATATGCTGAAGTCCAGTTTTGGCCTTGTGTCTCCGCAGGGCAGGCGCTGGGGAGAGAGACCACTGAGTGAGCGAGTCAGGGACAGCCGAGTTCCTGGTGCTGACAACTTCTCCCCGAGGTTCGTGCAGAAGGCTCTCTGCTTTGCCATGAGTCGCGATGGCAGCTCCGGCGGTGTCGTGCGGACTCTCGTGATCACGAAGGAGAAGGTGGTCGCCGCCATCCTCCGCCTTTCACAGCCACAGTTGAAACGCTAGCGTTGTTCGAACCAATCCCAGCTCTCGGACCGCCTGACAGGTTGAGGAATCCATGATCGAGGGCAACAAGCTGGCCTTCGGACCATAACAACGCTGAGCCGGGCGCTTTCTCTTTTGAGCTGTTCTTCCCTGGCCATCGGATGGTTGCATGTCCGTGGCAGGTCTGAACCTGCTGCTTAGGTCAAGATGGAAAAGCCCGAGGGTCGAGATTCAGAGACAAATCCGCTGTAGGATGAGCACAGCTGAACACCCCGTGAGGCGCGAGGCAGCAAAAAGCTGGTGTGGACCACGCATGTGTTGGCACACACGGAGTGGGATCTGTTAGGGGCATCCAGTACATGAACGCCATTATGCCTGTCTCGGCTTGATGGTTATGATGCAGCCAGTAGCAAGCAACAAGTCTTGCAGTACAGGCTTGGCAAGGGCACAGATACGAGGTGTCCGACCCTCCAACCTTGCAACAGCTTTCCCTCACTTTCCCCCAAGCGTCAGCTCCGTCCAAGCAAAGAGTTACGGCTCGCCATGCGCCATGACCGGGTGGCTGCGCATGGGCGATGGCTGCCTAGGCCCGTTTTGATTCCCCACGACCGGTCTGTCAGCTCGGTGGATGCGCAGGTTGTTTGCCTTGGCCCTGGCCGTCGAAACCACGTTACGACGCCCTGGAAGAAAAAGTGGAGGAGGCCACGGTCGCGCTATCCGCTGTCATATCCTTTTTTACCATTTTCCTAGATGCAGGGCCACATCGGATGACCCTCAAGACTGTGTCAGGTTTGGCGACGGGTTCTGGCTCTGCCTCCCGGAGGCCCGGCGCTGCCAATTGCATTCACTATGATGTGATGCTGTACCAGGGTCATCGGATGGTGTACGAGCTTGTTGAGCTTTTTCAACAGAGCCTACCGCCTATCAGCCGTGATGACATGTATATATAATGCACATTCATATGTCTGTAGTATGCAAGTAAGTTTGCATGCATGCTTTCATGGATGTACGCATGCATGGATATATGCATGCATCTATGTGCGCATGTACGTATATATGTATGTACGTATTCATGTATGCATGCATGCATGTATGTACGTATGTATGCATGTATGTATGTATGTATGTATGTATGTATGTATGCATGTATGTGTGCGGGGGGTCTCAGTACAAGTCAGGCTGTTGTTCAAAATATCCCCTCAAAAGGAAACGATCGGATAGTGCCAACTTGTGCATTTTTCCTTTAGCCGCCACTTTACCACGGAGCTTGTTGACGCTTACGTATGCCTGTATGTATGTACGTGTGTACAAGGGTGCGCATGTATGTACATGTGTAGGTGTCTGTGTGCTTATGATTGCGTGTGTATACATCGCCGTATATTTTGGGGTCCTTGTTCTCGACTATCAAGACAAGAAACGCGCCCATGCGTTTTATCATTCATTCTGTCTTTAGCGGAACTTGCTCGGACTCTTTAAGCCGTGTCACATGGCTGGGTTTGTGAAAGCCGAAGACAAAGACCCTGAGAGCAATCGCCAAAAAGTATGCTTGTGACACACAAACAACGATCGAAGCTACCATTGTCACAAGTTTTTTGGGCTGTATACTCTATTATTCGAAATGATGTGCAGCATTGTCAACCTTCATCCACATTGCACATGATAAAAAGGGTCTAGAGTTTCTGCTTATCTACGATCTTTGTTTGACTTTGTTACAAGATGCTCGTGGTGACATGCCAGATGGACGGAATGTGTACCCTGCGATGCAATTGCCAGAATTCGTCGCTTGCACTGCCTCGCAGGAATACGTCCAGAAGATAGTTTCCTCGAGCTGGGTGGGGAGTCCCTTCTTGCACTCAGGCCAACACCTCAAAGTAGCTCTGTTTGCAACCCGAAGTGCATTGCTTGCGCAGGGTATGCGCAACGCTCCGCTATGAACTTGGTGGGGAGGAGACGATCACATGCACATCATCTCTGTCCCTGTCTTCACACGCGCGACAGGCGGAGCCAGATGAAGATGTTGCCCCTGGTGACGAGAAGGACGGGCCGTGCCTTGAGAAGGTGAGTGTATGCTTGTCAAACAAGTGGAGCAAGCAAGAGCTGTCGAGGCTCCACAATTTGGGCATGTTTCTGGCGCATTCGCAGTGGCAACACTACTCGCAGCGCCCGAGTCTCAGTTTGCCACATCAGCCCAAAGTCACGGATAGATTGGCCAAGAAGCTCTGGAAAGCTCGAGATTGTTGTGTCAGCGTCAGCTTCTTTGCAAGGCCCAGCTTCCGTGCGTTTTGCGACGGTTTGCGGCGCAGCGGCTACTGCGTTCCAGGCGGAGACTGGAGAGCCAACAGACCCGGCGATAGAGGGGCCAGAGTCGCACCTCCCTCCTTTCCCCGGTATCTCTGTGCCTCTCACCCCATCCATGGGTCTCTCGCTCTCTCACTTTGTCTTCCTGAGTCATTCCCTATGTTTATGTTCTCTTCCGGCTAGTAGAAACCAGCCTCTGTGGTATTGTTTGCGATACTCTTTTTTCAATTTGCGAGCGATAGAGTTTTGTACAGACGCACGCCTTGCACCTGAATTCGCGGTGAAACCGTTTGAAGCCGAAAGGGAGGCAGTAGGCACTCAGGACAGCAGCAGGTTCCTGTACCTGCCATTGTCCTGGAACAGAAATCTGCCCAGCCCTTGGCCGGGTGCAGAAGCAAGTGCTAGCAGAGGGGATGTAATCGGCAAGGTAAAACGTCTCCTCGGCGACTCACTTCCTAACAGTCCTCACAAAACCAAAAGAGGGTGAAGTAAGAACTCCATGAGTAACCACGAAAGTCCAAACCCCACAAACGGTGTGCAGCTCATCACGTTCGTGACACAACACCACACGTCGCGTCAGCACTGCACACCTCGACCACCTGGGTCCCACATCCGCTCGTAGAGCAGGCCATGTTCGTGCAAAGCAATACCCACAATGCTGCCCGAACCATTTCCTGCGACGGAACGGCTCATCACAACCGCAGTGCCATTGACCTGCTGCGTCACGGCTTGTCCAAAAGCACATCGAGATACGCCTATTAAGTCGCCCCTGCGCTTGCAAGTTGACTTCAATCAGCAACTGCAGTCCAGCATTGCGCAGGGTGACTGGCGCAGCAGACCGTCAAGAGGCTCCCAAACACGCTTCCATTCGGGGCAAAGACGGCCGATGTCATGTGAATCTAAGAGCAACTCTCTGCCACGTCCATGGCCAGTGCAGCCACCACCCAACATGTGACTAGTTCCCTGCACAGAATGGAAGCTGAAATGGCTTTCAACTGCTTGCACTCTCATCGTAGCCATTTGCCGCCGTCGTATTTGGGCTATCCTCATGGTCAGCAAACTGTTTTCGGCAAGCACTGAATGACATGTATTCCAATTTCGACGATCATGCCCTGCTGAAGGTTGCACTGCATTGTGCATACCAAGATCAGACGGATTGCCCAGAAATAAGGAAGGATAAGGAAGGTCTCAGAGGAAGCTCTGGCATACATAGATCCCAATCTGTGTCAACATGCTCTGCTCGACCTGTGCTGTCCACCTCCTCCGGTTGACAAGTGCAGAAGTCATCCAACGTGGGCCAAGGAGTGTTGCACCCAACGTCTGTATAACGCGGCCACCGAGTGCCTCCGCATTCATGACATTTCCCGGGCAGGATGCCGTTCCGGCCTGCCAATAAACAGACATGCCCTTTACTCCGCAGTGTTCCTCTTCCCATGACGGGCAACTGATGAGGAACTGGGGCCGCCAGCAATCTACCTACCTCCAGCTGATAAGAGTGTTCTGGGCCCTGTTTACGATGCTAGTGAGTTACTAGTGATGACTGGTGACACTAGCGTGATGCATTGACCTCTACTATGTTTTGCTGCAAAGTGAGTATGCTGTTCTGTTCCTCAGAGCTAGTTGGAGATCATGTATGTGGTAAGTTCAGTTGCAGAGATGGTGCGACGCACTGGCAGGCAGATACAATCATACGATTGAAATCTGCATGCATTCGTCTGCATGCGACTTGAAGCAGGTGACGGAGTGCCATGCCAGGGCGCGGAACAACAGCACCAGGCACAGCCATGACATGTTATTTGCAAGTGCCGGTCGTTCGCTATATAAACTATTCAGTCGGGTATTGCTGCGAAGTCCAACAAGTTGTGCATCTGACTTAAATGCAACATTGAATATTTTCAGCTAGGTTGTGAGTGTTCAATAGGGACTTTCAACCATAACCGTTAAGCACTTTAGCATATTCCTGGTCCTAGAATACTGAGATGACATCCTCGGACCGATGCAGTTCTCGTCCTCTTTGGTAGGTCGACAGGTTGGAAGGCATGTGCATCGGGATCAAGGGACATTGCTGCGTCATCTCACGCTTCCGCTGCTGCATCGCGGGTGACACATGCACATGGCTGGCGACATACTTCACAAAACGCATACGTTGATCTGAAAGTTCGCCGTATTGGACCCTTCCCATGACCGTGCTGATTCCAGTGGACTTCTTTTCACCACACCACACCGAAGTAAATCCAGTAGTTACATGGGTACAGTAGGGTCTAGCATCTAGGTACAGATGGATTCCGACTGGCAGTTGTGGAGCTGCAGTGCTCAGCTTGCCAGGCCTGGCCACGCTTGCGCAGCGCTGCGCGAAGCCGAGGTCCAGGCAAATCGTGGGGTCTGGTGTCTAAGGATCTCAGGACCAGAATCCAAAGTTGTAGTTTGAAGGCTCAGAACTCAACGAGCTGGCATGTGATTTGTGAGCTACCCGCTCCCTCCCTCACACGACGCCCCTGCGTCCGCCTCGAGACGTTTGGCGCTTTGGCGCCTTGACTGCCCTGTTCGGTGTACAATTGCACCTTCGAGGATTAAACCTAGCTCAGCTTCGTCACATCTTGCTTTGTTCGGAGAGGGTCTCGGTTTTGCGATGCGGGAACCCGCAGGCGCGGCAGCAGCCTTGGCAGCGGAGCTGGATGCGGCAACTCCAGAGGATCCTTGCGGAATCATTAATATCATGACTGGTGAGCAACCAAGCCACATACGCCTCGATAGTCTCAGCGCAAGGATGCTCAGCGGTGGATCGGGGCCACTGCTCGACAGGGTAATGCGAAGGCGCCGGTTTCCGCTCAGCGGCACAAGCAAACACCGCCCTCATCTCACAAGCCTCGATTCCAAGCTTACTTTTGGTGTCTGGTGGGGCGACTGGCTGTTTGAGCAAAACACTACCGGCCTACACTCCAAAGCACACCAACTGTTCTGCTCTGTGGCTTCCATGCTGAAAGCTTGATATTTCTGCCAAAAGGCTGCTTCCTTCACGGCCCTCCACGCAGCGGCGTCAGCAACTCAGGGCTCGCCATTACAGTAGGACTCACAAATTCATACAATAAACCCTCACTTTTCTCAACAAAACGCAGTGGGTGATTGGGGGGCTCGGGCAGCTGCTTCGTGTTTTCGCCGCGTCCGGTGCGACCCGTGCCCTGTGTACAACAAAAATAAGAGTCTGAGAAACCTCCGACAGCATTTTGGAAGTAGATGCGTCGTACGCTGAGAGCAAGCGAATTCCTTGTAAAACGATAAGAGCAGAAAATTGAAGATGACGAATGTTCGTGACCTTAGCGCAGATCATACAGTCCCAAGTCTTGCAAAAACGACAAGAGTAGAACAAACCGATAACCATGTTAAGGGTCAAGCAAATGGGTGGATGGTTTTCACGCACCCGCTAGTAGCATTTTTATCGATTATAAAATAGCAGCCATATTGGCCTGCTTCTCCAAGAGATAGAGGAAATTGACCAGACTTATCCTGAAGCCATGCATCACCCAGAGATCCAGGGAAATAAGTCCGTTCACGAAATAACGTGGGTCCAAGAAGGTATATATCAGTACTCAGAAACGTAGCAAAGAGTACCTTACTACATTAGTGCACGTTCACACGCACGTATATGCAGAGATACGGCCATGGATAGATGGATAGACATACTGAAAAAGAATACATGCAACATGTTGCACAACCACTGAAGCCAAATATAGCGAAGTCGGAGATCATGGACAAGCACAGCCGTCATGGACATCTGCAAGGCGATCTACAAGCGTAGACAACGCACGTAAGAGAAAAAGGAAGTAACAAATACTGAACGGTCCTCAATTTGCTGCCAGCAAATCACATTAACGAGTAAGTAGCACGCAGGTACATCAGAGAAAGGGCAGGAATCTACCCAGGACGGTTGGCAAGCAAGTAGTTGCATGAAGTGTCCACATGCACATCTCAAGCCTGATTGTTAGAAGCGAATGTACTACCTGCTCAGGTTTGTACATAAATATGTCTTTGTACACCACAGTTGGGAATTTAGTTGCAGTCCACAGAACTGTTCAAACATGCGACATCAGTTCATGTACAGCAAGACGAGTATGGCCACAGGCAAGCGAACGCCACCGACTGCGTGCAATTCCTGTTGGAACGGCGAGCCCTGGACCCAGGAAGCCACCAATAAAGTTGCACGAGACAGGATGCGCTGTGAGGGTTTTCATGGAAATCATGCCGGCTGGCGGTGGTCGACCCTAGATTGAATAGAAGTTTTACCCAAACATGATCTGTCTGGCGTAGACTTGGTTGTTCTCGAAGAAAAATAACGTTGTCTATCAAGGCCAGGACTGGGCTTTGAGGCTTTAGGCATGAAAGGTTTGGGCAGGTGATCGGGCAGAATGCGTGCAGCTTGCACCTGAAATCTGACCATCTCCGGCTGTAGTGGGTAGACGAGGGGAGTGTTGCGGTTGCGAGGCGAGAGCCACGACGACTGAGCCAGGTGCAGCAATGACGCAAGAAACCCAGCGAAATTGTTGTGGTTGTATCCAGGGCCCAGAGCATCTCCTATCTGGCTTTGTAATAAGAGCGTAGGGCTCTTACATTGAAGTACAGGGATTGGGTCTGCAGGTCACTGTAGGTGCGAGGCGCCCCCGGCAGGTGTGTGCGGCGGTTCCGCGATAAAACAATCGCGTTCTTTCCACGGTCGCGCTGGAGAGCACGATTTCAGAATGTGTGGACACGCATGGTACGGCACAGTGAGGAGTTTCGAGCATGTTGGGGGTGCCAACCGTACCTCTTCGGCGTGTCAGTGTCAGTACAAGGCTTGGTCTGCTACTGTAGGTGTTCTTTCTTGTTTGGGGTGTACCGTGGCAGAACTGTTATCTATATGATGCATGTGTTATTTATTGTGTGCGGTCGTGTTGTGTTTGTTTGTGCTTAGGCCTCTACACTATGCCGCCATGGCTTCGGGGGCCGGCGCCTTGGACTTGCTGCCGGGCCCTCGAGCATCCACCTACCGTCACCAGTTGCTGAGGCTCCCATATGAGACTGGTGTTTCTAGTGGTAGTCGCAGATGTGGTGGTGGTGGTGGGGGTGGCGGTGGCGGTGGCGGTGGCGGTGGCGGTGGCGGTGGCGGTCGTCGTCGTCGTGATAGTAGTGGTAGTGGTAGTAGTAGTAGTAGTAGTAGTAGTAGTAGTAGTAGAAGTAGTGGCAGTGCTAGTGGTAAGTGGCAGTGGTAGTAGTGGTTCTAGTGGTGGTGGTACAGGTCGTGGTACTGGCAGTGTGGCAGTAGCAGTAGCCGTAGCAGCAGCAGCAGCAGCAGCAGTAGCAGCAGGAGTAGTAGGAGCAGTAGTAGTAGGAGCAGTAGTAGTAGTAGTAGTAGTAGTAGTAGTAGTAGCAGTAGCAGTAGCAGGAGTAGCAAAAGTGGTAGTAGTAGTAGTAGTAGTAGTAGTAGTAGGAGCAGTAGGAGCAGTAGTAG